CCTTAATAATAATGGGTGGTTGGAATGCATAAATTGGGAAAAGGGAAAAACGAGCAGTAGTCAGAAAACACGCACGGACTTGGTGGCAGAAAGGAGGCTGGAGATAGAATGGTAGAATTTTGTACAATCAATGATTTATTCATTGCAAATACCTTTTATAAGAAACACAAGCATCAGTTATACACATGGGCATCACCTGATGGCCTGCACAGGACTCAGATTGATTACATATGTGCAAAGAATTATTGGAGAAGCTCAGTATTAGCTGTGAAAACTAGGCCAGGTGCTGATTATGGAACAGACCAACAGCTACTTCATATGCACATTCAAGCTGAAGTTAAAGAAAGTGAAGTCACAAGGACCAACATTTGACCTTGAGTCTATCCCATCTGAATTAAAAATCACAGGAATAGATTTGAGGCTTAGAACACTAATGAACAAAGACCAGATGAGCTGTGGGAGAATATCAATAATACCATCAATGAAGAATGCAGAAGGTCAAGGTCATTCTTACTGGTTATAGCTTATTTGACTATCTCCCACTATTGCATACTGCTTACTATAAAAATTCCATTTGATTTTTAAAAAAAAAACTCCCTTTCATTGGAAAAATAACAGCAATTGAGTTAATGCCATTACCTTATAAGTTCTACAAAAAAAGTCTTCCATATCAAGCCTCCTTTATTCTAACCTTCCCTTCCGAATTTTTGTAAGGGCAGAACACATAAGTTTAGTCACATCTTACATGAAATGAGAATGTAGAATGTGCGCTTTATGCTTTATTTGTGACGTATTTCTCGTTTTCAGCATGTCACTGCACTTGGGCAACGAAGTGTTTGATGTTTACAAAGCGCCGCTGCACGGTGACCACAACCATCTATTCATACGCCAGGGTACTGGTCTACAAGGACAGGCCGTCTTCAAAACCAAGCTCACCTTCAGGTAACTAGTCATATCAGTATCATTCCTTGTTACAGTCAAAACCAAACTATAGATGTTATGAAAGAGGGCTGCATTCACTTGACTGACATAGCTTCCCAGTGTAAACCAAAATATGGTTCTCAGTTCTGAAGATTAAAAGACTGTCAGGTGTACTCAGATGGCTGTTTATCAGGAAACCGGCTTCCCAAATGTATGGGAGACTCTTCTGTAAACCAGAGCACCACTTTATTAATTTCTGTGGCTACTCTGACTGCCAGGTGACTAGGATACTTGTCTTGGCTGGTCAGTATGTCCTTTCTTTGTAGTAAAGAAGGTCTGGAGAAGGACTGGTGTACGTACAGTCAGAAGGAAGGGACTGGGTTGACTGATGTGAAATTCTCAGGTTGCCAAGTTCTCTAGGCTTCAGCATCTCATGTCCCTGGGATGTGTCCCCTTAGCAGACTGAACACTCAGACCACTGGCCAAGGGCTCACCCTTCTCTGGGCTGTGTAAGAGCTTCATAGAAAGAATTCATTATTTTCTTGATTCCGGAAAACCAAAACCATCCTTGAGTGATGCTTATTTGTAGATGGGAGTAGTGATGATTCCCTTTTTAAGAATTGTTATAGGCTTTGGAATCTCATGAACCTGTACTTAAACCCCATTTTCACTTGTGTGATTTTTGTGCAACTTTCTTGGCATCTCTTAGCTTCAGAAAACAAAACCATTGCCATTGAATTGACTTTCCCTCATAGCAATTGTATAGAAGAGAGTAAAATTACCACAGAGAGTTTGCGAGACTGTAAATCTTCCCAGAACAAGACACGTCTTTCTCCTGCAGAGAGCTGGTGGGTTAGTACCACGACTTTTTAGTTAGCAGCCATGCGTCACCACTGTGCCTCCAGGGCTCCATTCCAGCCTCAGTGTCATAGACAGTGCCAAGGAGTAGCTGTGGCTGTTAAATCACATAGTGTGCAAAGCACAGTGCCTGGCCCGTAAGAGTCAATACATGGAGCTGAAAGGGGTCCATTTGTTGCCTCTAGAATGCAGTCAGGCCTTCTAAACCATCATTCTTCCTTTACCTTCAGTGTTTCACATTATTCGTGAGGTAAGCATGTCTGCGTCATTGAATGAAGAACGTTTAGAGGTGTCATGTAGTGCGTTCAGTTTAGCAGCCCAGCTATTCGAATGAATTTGAAATGGTCTGGCCTCTTGTTTTTATTTTCTTCGCCTGACTAACTCACAAATGTGTTTGACAAATAGATGTTTTTGTTCATTTCCTGGCAGACCTCACTCCACAGACAGTGCCACACACAGAAAGATGACGCTGTCACTTGCTGATAGATGTTCAAAAACACAGAAGATTAGAGTCTTGTCAGTGGTTGGTCGTGATCCTGAATGTCAACGCACAGAAATGATCAAGGTATGTCTGCTAATTTATCCTGAAATTTTCTTTATATATATTGCAAGCTTCATTTCCCAAACCATTTGTGCATCTCAAATTCCCCTTCCAGTTGGCTTAATTAGGGAGCTGGATTTACTTTCTAAGCATTTGTCAAACAACAGGTAATGTAGTGATAGTGGTAATGGACATGGGGGCTCAGATATTCTCTCACCTGTTTCACCATCAAACTGAGAATTAGAAGACCCGGACTATCACTAATGTTTAAAATGATCATCTATGTTCAGTTTGGAGCCTATGCAAAAAATTTAGTGGGATTGGTAGATTCAGTCTAGCTAAATAGAGTTGTTGTTTTTGTTGTTGCTATTATGTACCAGTGAGTCAAAACTGATCCATAGCTAAACCTTCAGCAGGTTTTTAGAGGCTGTGAGTCACAAGGGAGGAAATTGTCCATTTTTATCCAGCACAGCAGCTGGTGGATTTGAACCATGTTATCTTTTGTGTTGGCAACACAAGAGCTCCCCGAGGGTAGGAATAACCAAGAGTTTGAATGAAAGAGTTCCTAAAGCAGAATCAGACAAAGACTCAAGTTTGCAACCAGTAAACCCCAAATCAGTTACCATCAAGTTGATTCTGACTGATGGTGACTGCACGAGTGTCATAATAGAGCCATGCTCCATAGGCTTTTTGAGAGGCTCATTTTAAAAGGATTGCCAGGCAATGAATGAATGGAAATCCAAAATCTCTGTAAATGTTCATTAAAATTATTAAAATAAAATAAAAATGGGGAAAAAAAGAAAAGGATTGCCAGACCTTTTAGTCTACTTTTAAAAATAGATTGCCATTTTAAAAAAAGTAGATTGCCAGGCCTTTCTTCTGAATAGCTTCTGGATCCCTCCATCTAAATGAGCTACTTTATACCAACTAGGAGTCATGTGACTTCAAGTTATTTCCAGCTCTATAAACAGCCGCCTGAAACCTGTTCTGTCCTGCCCTCTCACCCATGCTCGTGCCCCTTGTTATGGTCATTATATCAGTCCCTCTCTCTCTTTCAGGTCCTCTACGTGATTCACAGCTTCTGAAAACCTCCTGGAGGGTCAGCTCTGAGACGGTTCTGACTCAGTGGCCATAACAACGTAGATAGTGTTCTGGGATCTCTGATAGACTAGTAGGTAGGGAGTTTCACTACCAACCCAGCCGCAGGCAGTTCAACTCCACTATCTGCTCCATGGAAGGAAGATGGGCTATCTCTTCCTGTGAGATTGACAGCCACTGGAAATCTGCTGGAGGGTCAGCTCTAAGTTGGTTCCAACTCAGCAGTAATGAGTTGTTTTGTTTGATACATATTGTTCAGTGACATTGGTTGCATTTCCCATATTGTACCAGCATTCTCATTATTTTTGTGCTGATTGTCCTGTTCTCATTATTCTAACTTCCCTGCCCTTTACTTACCCCTGTCTTTGCTTTAGGGGAACATTTGACCATTTGGTCTCATATAGTGATTATCCCCCCCCTTTCTTTTAAGAAGTTCATACTTAATGGGTGATAGTGTTTATTTTTTCAAGTTAATTTGTTATTTAGATAAAGGATGACTTCCAGGAGTGCTTTCTGTTTAGAATCTACAGGCATTTCTCTGGGGTAGGTGTATATGTCTTAGTACAGTTTGTTAAGGCTCTCATGGTCTTTTCCATCACTTAGCTATGCATATGAAAACTGGACAGTGAAAAAGAATAACAGAGGTAGAATTGATGCCTTTCAGCTGTGGTGCTAGAGAAAAGTAATGACAATCCCATGGAATGCCAAAAGAACAAACAGATAATGTCTTGGAGAAAGTGCAGCCAGAGAGTTCCTTGGAGGCAAAAATGGCGAAGCTTTGTCTCACGTACTTTGGGCAATTGCTAGGAGAGGGTATTCCTTAGAGAGGGACATCATGCTTTAAAAGATGGTCAGCTAAAGAGAAGAAGACCTTCAAGAGGTTGGCATGGTGACTGCACCAGTGGCCCCAGTGTGTCACAGATTGTGAGGATGGCACAGATAGGACAGGGTTCAGATGTGCTGTTCATAGGGTCTCTGTGAGGCAGAGTATTTGATTCAAGGGCATCTAACAACAGCATGATGGTCAAGGTCTTATCTCATTGTCAGCCTCTGCTGTAGGTTTACTCCAGGCCTCCTTTTTCTTCCCTCCTATATTTTGTTCCTGAAAATGGACTAATGATGAACTCAAATTCAGTCAAGTACCTGATCTAGCAATCCAGCTGTGTGGGGGCACGGCTTTGGAAGCTGACGTCATGCTTCATTTCTCCCATCTTTTTTGTTCAAGTAGGAAGGCCTACAAACTCCAGTTTCCCATTATTACAAGAGCCCCTTCCTTGTGCCATCTTTATTGTTTCCCCCCATCTTCCACTTCTTCAGTTTCTGTAGAAAAGCAAATAAGAAGTCAGCTATTTTGTTAAAGTCTCTATCCTAAAAACAACAGGTTTTATTCTGTATTGAGTAGAACCACATACTACCTCTTACTTAAGCAATTAGCTTCGTAGAATTTCTAACAGCAGCATTGGAGTTGAATACAGAAC